TATATATATATATATATATATATATATATATATGTATTGGTTAAAAAAGGAGAACAAAACGTCTTCGCTGAGGTGTCTGTACACCCCAGCAGCTGCCTGTACACCCCAGCAGCTGCCTGTACACCTCAAAACGCACTTAAAGGGTTTAAAAAGAGACAAAGAAGGGCACTGCTGAGCTGCCTATACACCCCAGAAGCTGCCTATACACCCCAACAGTGTATGAGCTGCCTATACACCCCAGAAGTGTACGAGCTGCCTATACACCGCAAGGGGCTCTCCTTGACCTTAACACAATTTTTTGTTTTTTTGTTTTTTCTGTTTTCGTTTGTTTTTTGTTTTTGTTTTTGTTTTTGTTTTTTGATGCAAGTAAACAATATATCCGGGTTTCACTGCGCTGCTGCAGCCTAAACCCTAGCTTTATCTAAACCCTAAACCCTAAACCCTAAACCCTAAACCACTGCTGGTTTGTTCCGTTGTTTGTTTTCTGCTTGCGGCAGTGCCCTGTTTCTTTGTTTATTATATTTGTTTATTTTTTCGTTTTGTTTTTTTCTTTTTTATTTATTGTCTATTGTGTATATTTATTAGTTGTTTATTGTACTCGTCTTTCTTTGTTTTTTGTTTATTTTTTTTAATTTTTAAACGCACCAATATCTTTAATTTAATTTAATTAATTTATTTATTTTATTTATTTATTTATTTTATTTATTTATTTATTTTATTTTATTTATTTATTTATTTATTTATTTTTATATCTACTGCTATAGGGAGATGATCCGAAGGAAAGAAAGAAGAGAGAAGGCCCCCCTCTGCCTCAACGGCCTCCAGCGAAACCCCCGGGAGGGTTCTCAGCACCTGCACCCACAAACCCTAAACCCTAAACCCTAAACCCTAAACCCTCAGAATGAAACCCTAAACCCTAGCAAACAACAGAGACAATTAAAAACCCTAAACCCTAAACCCTAAACCCTAGTTGGTGGAGGCTAAACCCTGCGATTCAAAAAGTAGCGTTTAGGGTTTTGTTTGTGTTGCAGCAGAGTGATGAAACTTTAGGGTTTAGTCTAGGGTTTAGGGTTTAGGGTTTATTCTAGGGTTTAGGGTTTAGGGTTTAGGGTTTAGGGTTTAGAGTACCTGTATATGTTTAGAGAGAAATATGTGGTCTAGGGTTGCGTGAAAGTTCGCCGCAAAATTAGAGAAAGGGAGAAAAGAAGAAGCGTAAGAATTCTTCAGCTGTACAGACACCGGGAGCTCCAGATACAAACCCTCTTCTGCTGCTGCTGCTGCTGCTGCTGCTGCTGCTGGTGCTGCTGCTGGTGCTGCTGCTGGTGCTGCTGCTGCTGCTGCTGTTGATGGTGGTTGCTCTGCTGCTGCTGCTGCTGCATCCTCTTCTGCCTCTTCGTCGTCGTCTAGGTTCTCTGTATTCCAAGTGTATGTTGCAGCTGAAAAGAAAAACCCTAAACCCTAAACCCTAAACCCTAAACCCTAAACCCTGTATAGATAATCCGTAAAGTATACAAAGCTTAATATAGGGGTTCTTTTTGTTGCTGTTGTTTTATCTCTCAAGGGTTTAGAGTATCAAGGGTTTAGGGTTTCAAGGGTTTAAGATTTCAAGGGTTTAGGGTTTAGGGTTTAGGGTTTAGGGTTTACCGTAGCGCCAGTCTGGGTGGTGGTTTTGTATGCATCCGTCCCGCAGCAGCGCAAACCCTCCGCTGCTTTCGTCGCAGTTGAAGTCCCCACAAAGAACAACAGAAATATCCTCAGCAGCAACAGAAAAAGAAGAAAAAAAAGGAGACAAAGAAGATATAAACAAAGACACCAGAGTACACAACACGTACACCTGCAGTATACGCACA